TGACAGAATGAGAGAGAGAGGTCTTCCATCCGCTGGTTCACTCCCCAAATGGTCACTATGGCTAGAACTGAGACGATATGAAGCCAAGAGCCAGGAGCGTCTCTCACGTGGGTGCAGGGACCTAAGTACTTGGGCTGTTTTCTGCCGCTTTCCCAGGTAGCTGGATCAGAAGTGGAGTAGTCAGGAATCAAACTGGTGGCCATATGGGATGCTGGTGCTACAGACCGGAGCTTTAACCCACTGCACCACAGCGCCAGCCCCAGGAAATAAAATTTAATTTTTCAAGTCTCTCAACTTCTCCCTTATTTACCTGATTTGGATTTGGTTTTCTCATTAGCTTCATAACCAGTTACATTTCTTAGAAGGAAAAGTGCCTGGCTTCGCAAAGCCTTTGGGTTCTTGATTTTTTTCCCAGTACGGAGCTGTGTAATCATGAGATTATCCTCTACATAATTATCCAAATCCACAGCCAATTTATGAATAGAAATCCTGCTGGAGAATTGGAATATTATGATCAGTTAGACATTTCCAGGAGAAAGATGTGAATTTTATTTGCTTAAAATAAAAGGAGAAAAGAAAAGAAAGCAAGCAAACCTCCAACGCAGCCAACCGAGTTTAATCAGCTGTTTGCCTGCAGGCGCTGAGGCGGCCTGGACCGAGGTGTCGGAAGCAGGAGGCCTGAACCCGCCGAGCGGGAAGAGTGTCCGCGGGATTACCGATCAGACAGAAGCACCCCCAGCCCCTCATCTTCTCCTTCGCTCTGAGATACACACAAAGCTCTTTATTTATTTTATACTTAAAGTGTCAAAGGTGCCCAGGGGGTGGGCCTCTGTCCTGGGGATTGGCAGACCACACTCCGGGGCCGACATAATAAGAGTCCACCGTGGGGCAGTGCGAGTCACACAGCGTGTGCTCAGCCCCGGCGGCCGTGGCAGGGAGTCTCCTATTGGCCGGGGAACAAACGCGGCCCTGCAGGTCCCCGGGAAGAGGCGACAGGGCTGGAGAACGCCTGATGGCCACACTAGCAGGGCGCAAAGACGGCTCTGCGGGACCAACATCCAGACGCACAAACGACTCCAACTCGGGGACAAGCCCGCAGAGACGGGCCACAGACAAGGATGCTACTACTCCTGTGCGATCCAAAGGCGCGCCAACCGCAAAAGGGACTACACAGAAAAGACAGCAGTTTACTACTTCTGTCTGCTCCCTGAGCTGGCTAGTAAGCATCCCGTGGTGCACACAAAGCCGCAGAGTCCTGACCACAGCTGTCTCACGAGCCAAAAAGACTTGCTCAAAAAACCAGGCCTGCGCCCGCCCGCTCCATCACCTGCAGCTCTGAGGCCTCATTTCGTCAGGCTGGTTTGGAAAATGAGTACAGTTTTAGACGGGCAGGATTCTATACTTTCTATAAGAGTTCTGTTACCGAGCAAAATTTGTTCAGTCACGGAGCAAATGCGCTCAGAGCGTCAGTCACCTGATTTGGGCGAGAACTTTGTTGTTTCTCCAGCCACTCCACTTGCTTTCTTTGGTAGCTCCTCAAGCGGAAGAACTCTCATTTTCTCCTTTCTCTAATAAGGAGGGTGGCAATCTGAGACTTAGTGTTAAGGCTGTTCTTTGCTTGTAGCTAATGAAGGAATATTTGCCAGTATGAAGCTAACAGTGATACAGAATATTTAAAAAAAAATCAGAAAATCAAACTAGGCAAGTGAAACACATTAACTTTAACTGGCCAAACATCACTGCTTGCTTTCTAATCTTTCCTTCATGCTTAACTTAGAAGTATAGATGTAAAATAATATGTACTATATTTTCAAACTCATCAGTAGTAGTTAAGCATTTATTGAGTATCTGTTGCACACTGTACTTGGTATTTTTGAGGGCTACCAGAAAAATAGAGCAAATATTTCCAAACTTCAAAGACAATCTCACTGTGGAAGTAAGCACAAATAACTTGAGAAAAATTCTCGACCCACAAGGATGAGCTTACGAAATCATCCCATCCTTCCTACTATTCAGGGAAAAAAAGGCCATTGTTGACTGATCTTGACAAAGAAAGCAGAACTGGGATGATTATCTTACTTTTATAAGATCAGAGTGAGGAAGGTAGCAAGGAATATAGTCTCCATTTGAAGATAAAGAAAGTCGAAGTCACAGGTCAGTGGTTTGTCCAAATTCAAGCAGCAACTCACTAGAATTATGTGCCAGGAGTTAGATACAGCTTTTCAACATCTAATCCTCTGCGGTTTATATGACACAATTGTCTTGGTTTTTGTGCGGGAAGAAACTAATAATCACAGTGAAAAACAGGAAACACAATGTCAGTAGAGTGTCGATTCCATGGCAGAGGAGTCTCCTAGGCTTCATTCTCAAATTCTAGAACTCTGAAATAGCAGCTGCTATATTTTTTCTAAAGCAGAAGCGTACTAGTGTTGACCTTATTCAAGTTATAATATAACTCCAGAGGGACCAATGAAAGGAAAGGAAAGAACTGATGAGGTCTAAGTGGTGATTGCATTTATAGATTAATCCTGACAGGAAGCAAATATATCTCCTCCCAGGAGGCCCAATAGAGTCAACTGAGAAGTGAGCTTGTTATTTATGAGCACAGTGCATTTTTTCCAGCACAAGAAACATTTTCATAACTTTAAATGAAACATTCTTTTTTTGGTAGCAAGTATTTTATAAGAGTAAGAACTGTATTGTCAACCCTCCCACCCCACCCCCACCCACCCCCCTGCCCACCGTTGGCTATGTGTGAAATTCTCTTCTACTCTTTACACTGCTAAATGGCAGTTTGTCCTGCCTTGATATCATAATGGAGAAATTGTGTGCACTCATACACAAGCATTTCGCATGCTGAAACCTGCAGTAACCCGCCGAGGGCGAAGAATGGGCCAAATGAGTAGTTGGCAGCATGGCCCCAGAGCAATTTCATTTCCATCTGTTACGTATGGTGGCCTTCCACATACAATCTCATGTGAAGCTAATAAGTTTGGAAAACACTTATCTAAATGAATCAGTGAAGGTGAGGTAGGAGTATAATACTGATGGGCTTTTTATTTCTCAATAAGGTAACAAACTCTAGAAGACATTACCACATACCATAAAACATGCCAACCACATATACTCACTGTACAGTCATCAGCAAAGACTCTTCATGAAATAGGTGTGCCATGGACACAACATAACTAATTTGTAACGTTAGAGCTAAATAATAAGTTTCCTTAAACAGAAAAAGAGTCTCCCTTTTCTGATCGATAATATTAAGTGACAGTAAATGTCATTGGGGAGTTAATGTTAACTCTTAAGGTGAGATTACAGTATTGTGGTTTTCTTGAAAAGGAATTCATGTATTTTAGGGATACACTCTGAAATATTTACAGATGAAATCAGATGAAGTCTGAGACTTGATTTAAAATAATGTGAGGCCTAGCAGTGGGAAGTAAGGAAGGGTGTTGATTAGGCAAGATTAGCTATGGATTGTTAAACGTGGAGACTAAATAAGAGTACATGAGGTTTCTTTTTGTACATCTGCTGCATTTGCACATATTTGCAAGTTGCAACAATACATTTTTTTGAAGTATTAACTTTTGAAGACTGCAAGTGAAACGTGTAGTCTTGATAACACCTGAGAAGCAGCCAGAGATCTTTCTGAAATTATTTTAAATCTGCCTAGACCCTAGTTTAGCAAGCCAACCAAATAGGGCTTTGGCCTCCTTAATGGGTCTGTAACGCAGCCCAGACTCTGCACATTTGGAGCGTCTGCTTACTGTGCTACCAACAATACACTGTATTTTTACTCAGGGCCCATTCTGCCTACATCTCCTCCATACAATAGTTCTCAGGGTAGCCTGCTGTATGAACTGTCCTGTTAGAATATGCTGGGAAGTCATAACTGATTTTTAATATTACCTTAAGCAAAATGCAAACAAAATGTTAAAACTGCAATGCAAAAAATAATCATACCGTATACTTCAAAGCTGTTAGCATGGGTAAATGAGCATTGTCTATAAAACCCCGAGAATCACGCCCCCTATTAACACTGTCTTGGGAAATCAGAGGCTACAACTGTGAATGGGCATGGCAGCCATGCCTGCTTTTACCCAAACTACCACACTTCTATTATTCTACTTCTGACAGAATAAACAAGTTAAACAACTGAAAACAAAAATTCTGAACGGTAGGAAAGAACAATCGCCATCCTCATTTCTCTTTAAAAATTTTTTTAAAATAAGAAACAGTAGGCTGGTGATTGGAATGCTTAGAGTATCTGAATTAAGTCAGCCGGCATTTTAAATAGTTTAATATAGTTCATGGTCATGGATATCACCAAAAAGTAGGGTAGGGTGGGAAAATTACCTTTGCTTAAATGCTCTCTATGTTTCAGGCATTATGCTGGACACCTCTGATGGAAAAGCTTAGTATGTAGGTTTTACCCCCACATTAGAGATAAGAAAGTTGACGGGTCATGGCCATGTCCTTAATGAGAGGTATATTTAGAATTTCAAGGAGACTTGGAACTCATGGTTATTTAAAAAAAAAAAAAAATTGCTTCCAGCCTACTGACACTGCTCTGGGTATTTCAAACTGTATCAGTACAGGACTCATGGAAGTCCTTTGAAAGGCTCTTAAATTTTCAAAGAAATAATTCTATAGATTATTTATAGGTACTTCAAAAACTGTGGGAAAATGAGATTAAAAGATAAATTTATTTTGGTTCAAAAATTTTGAAATCCATGCATTTGTGGGGTCTTCTGGAAGTTCACGGGAAATGTACATTTTGAGAAAAACTGTGCATGCATTTCAAAGCTGTAACATATATATTACATACGAACTCTTTTACTTTGCTGCTGAAGCAAAATTTCCACCTAGCATGGTCCAAGTCAAGTTAATAGAATTGCATAATTCGACTCTACCAGAAAGAGACAGTGGAACAGTCAGAAGAGTGATCCCGCTCTGGTCAATCCTACTATTTTCACATTGGAAAGATAATTGCTTACCAGCGAATTGTCCCTAGATTCAACTAGCAGTAATTCAGGCTGGAACAAGCTCTTAAGTCCCACCGCAGCTTCTCCAAGTGTGGGGGAGTTTGGATAATTAAAGACATGGCAGTGCCACTTGCTAGGATTTCACTCCTCTTTCTCTTTCACCTCCTATAAAAGAAGAAACTTTAGTTTAAAGATTAGATTTTTTTCTCTCTCTCCTTTTCTAAAGCTGGGTATACCAACTGGCATAGGCTGTATTAAAATCGGGAGAAACCTCAGTGAAAAAGCCTCTCTCGGAAGGCAGGCTTTCTTGTTAATATGCACCAACATGAAAGGCTTTCTTTTCATCCTATACAACTACAGTGTGTGTAAATTGCAGGGGGCTCATTGGCATAAATCTCGGCTGCGACCTCTGAGGTAAACTGGATTTACATTACTTTCTGACAAGAATTAAATGAAGGCCTTGTGGATATATGAACAGCCTTCTAGGCTGCAACAGATGGGCATGAATGTGTTCCCTAGGAAAACTATCAGTGACATCTGGGTCCTCCAAATTCTGGTGGTCTCAGCCAATTAAGGGGGGGGGGGTGGGGGCGGGGAGGCCACAGCACAGCCCCCAGCCAAAACCAAGGCAGAAGTGTTTGTGTTTGGGGATGGGATCAGGCTGGCCCGCAGCAGCGAGGTTAGCACTTTATTGTTATCATTCAAATGGAGAATGTGGCTTACAAGCTATTTGTATACCGCAGAGAGGATAATATGATTTTTCTCATTTGACCGGAGGAGATGGCCCGCTCCTGCAGCTGATATCATATTTCAGCGCAATCTCTTTGGGACGGGTGCTTACTTTTGTCTCCTCCAAGGCAGGCGGATGGTGTGCTGTCTGCCAATTTCTGTAGCGCATTCACATGTCACAAAGCAGGTGAACTCGAAGACAAAACTGGGCTCTTTCCCCAGTACATTGTTTCCTCCCCGATCTACTGCTCTCCTCCTCCACTGTGGTGTTTACTGGCTTCACAAAGAAATCAAAATCAAGGCTTCCTGGTCAAAACAAAGGCAAAAGAATGACATCAGCAATCTTTAATGAGGTGATGAACCACAAACTCTACTTCTGAACTTAGCAGACTTCAGCTGGGTCTAACAGGCAGACAGGAGGAAAACTAGGGAAACCGAGGCAAGAGGCCACGGTTCCTCTGGCCACGGCAACTCTCGCTTTCTGTGCTGTCCTGACCGATTTGCTTGGCCTGGGTAGAACAAGCAACCAAGGATGGGGGTAGTGGCACAATGGGAGGTGAGCTGAGAAGTAATTTTTACTTGTTTGAATACCAAGAGGAACCAGCAGACCTATTTAGCTATTTCAGTTCCTACATCTTCTAGGCCCTAGCACTGAAAAACAGAAGTTTGGGAACAGAGGTAGCCAAGCCTTAATTCTGGATTTACCACTTACAGGATAAGAGATAATGGGCAAATTACTTAACTTCTTTGAGTCGTATTATTTGTACCTGTAAGATCAGGCTAACAGTAGTATACCTACAACCAACTCAGGATGTAATAACACAGGAAAGGCTTATTCTGAGTTTGTAGGCTGAGTACTGAACAACTTGGACGGACTCTAAACCTCTGAACTAGTTTCGCAAAGTGGAAGCCATTACATTATACTTGTTTTTGGAAATTCAGAAAACTGATTTTTCAAAAGCAATTTTCATTACTTTTAAGAGCTAAGGCCATACTTTAAAATTACATATTTCCTTTCATGTATAAGTTTCCGACATTAGGACTTGCTAACATGAACATACCATCAAAAGTATCTGGATATTTCTACATTATCAAATAGACTATCAAGAGACAAGCAAAATAAAACATCTAGACCCCCCCCATCCAAATGAAATTAAGATGTGTGCTTTCGTTTGTTTCCCTAGTTGCAGAAATAAAATCGTCCCATCTTCGAGTGGCTTTTACATGTGATGTTTTGGAAGATAAGGTTCATTGTGACAATTTGGATACCACCCATTCAGCCCCTGTCCTAAGTGTTGTTTAACACACAGTAATTTCACATCACCATTGTTTACAACAACCACAACAAAGAAGGCGAAAGGGCAAGTGGACCTCCTGAACAAGAGAACCTGCGGCACAAGCCGAAAATGCTTGTCCCACTACATCTTTCAAGTGCATGCTCACAGTAGGGAGTTTTGTTCTCTTATTTTCTGCGCCGTATGATTTTCTAAAGACCCACTTAGAAGACCCGCAGCAAGCAGAGCCTCAGCACAGTATACGACTGCTCCTAGAGGAAGCCAAACTGCTGGCCCACAAGGAAATCTCTTGCTGTTTTTTCTCCACAGGCCTCATCCACTGGACCAGAGGAACCCACAGACCCGAGGGTGAGGGTGAAAACAATTTTAAGCCCAGTTTTCACACAGATTGTGAGATTTTGTCATTATTAAGCCCCAAAACCAAATGTAACTTTGTCTCCTTCTGTTGGTAGCAATATCATCCTGTGGAGCAATGCACAGCAGAAGGGCCTTTGTCACAGAGGGATTCAGAAGAAAACTGACGCCAAACAAAAGCACCTGTTGTTTCCTTCTTGTAATGACCTTAGAAGTGACCAGTTGTCTGTGAGTCCCCCACACTCCTCCCGAGGCCTTTCCCAACACTACCATCTCACACATCATTATTGCATGTAAAAGGAGAATAATTGAGGAGAAGATCAATAAATTTAAAAGCTCTTTAAGGAAAGACATAATGAATTTGGTACAGCACATATTTTTAGATCAAAGATGCCTTTGAAGTGACAAAACCGTAATCCATAAACTACCAAAGCACTTCCTTTCTCTCCCAAACTGCTTGTTGTCAAATAAAATGGAAGTTAAGGAAATTATCTTTATCTGAAAATGGCCAAAAGAAGCCATCACCTCATGACAGCCTTGTCACAAGCCACAATTGGGGAAATTGTCAGGAAGGCCAGGCCTAACAAGCAGAGGAGCGGGCTTGCTGTTTGCGCTAATCTGGCTGGGCAGCCCCCACACACAAGCCCAGTCGGCTTGCTGAGTGCAACAGCGAGGGCTTTGTCAGCCTTAGCAGGGACTGGAAAGAGCACTCTTTCATGAATATGTATCGCCATTGCTCCGTGTCCACAGAGACAAACCACTCCAAACTGAGATGGAAAACACACACACACACACACACATACCTCTGACCAACAAAAAACGGAATGGGCCTAAGCTACTGGTCTGAGTGTAGTGAAATGCTAGTAACTAATGAGAGATCACGCGTCGGCAATGGAGCCAGAGGCACCGCTTCCATGTGTTTGCTGGGATCTTTATTTCCCAGCAATTGAGAGGAAATCTGCAGGGAGCTTTCAATCTTTGGGAACCACGTGCATAGACTCAGAGATGCTACACCTCGTTACAAGGATTGCAAATCACACATTCATCTTCCCAGTGCCAAATACACTCTGCCTCTGCAGCTCTAATTCTAAAGTGAAAACAGCTCTGAGAGTACATGCATGTGCAGTTTTAAGAAACGGATCAAATATCGTATTGGCTTCTGTCTGATGTAGTAGAAACACCAAGTAGAAAATTTTGATGAAGACCTAGCATTTCCCAGCATGGAGCAGAAAGACATTGTGGTGGCAGAAAGTGAAAATTGTAAATAAAGAATTTGAAGGTGAAGTGAGAAAAAAGAAAAAAAAAAACCACACTGAAGGCCTTTGTAATCCTAATAGTCTTGTTTTTAAAAAGCCATATGTATGCATGTCCTTTTCTAAAAAGATGAATTCTACGCATAACCGTGAGCAAAGGAATGGTAAGGTTTATAATTACTGAACTTTGAGTTTTTTACCGACATTGAAAGTCAGTTTAGAATAAAAATATGTGTTTATACATATTTATATTTCATTTCATTTTTTCTAGAAACAGATAACACAGTGAGAAGAGTATAAGGCTGTTTGCTTGTTACTTCTCCTGATATGACAAAGTTTGATTGCCCACTGTGCAAGAGACAAAGCTGGGTTTGGAGGGGTTTGGATATTACGCAATGTTTGCCATGGACATTAGCATTTCATTAGCATAGCCTGCTCTACGTGGAATCCAGCATTGAATGGTCCCAGCGCACTAAAGCTAATCCTCTTTAAAGAGCTACAGGCTATATTACATGTGGCCACAGCAGCAGTCGTGCCATCGCTGCGTCACTTTGAAGACGATGAACAGAGTTCTGTCTGTACCCGTCCTCGTAAACCACTGCTCTCTGTGCTGTGAAATCCTTCTGTTTTCATCAAGGAGAATTAGGAGGAGGCCGCACTCCCAGTCAGCGCTCTGAAAGCTGGACTGCTCTCCAAGAGGAGATGTTATGCTGATTTCATTTTTTCCTAAGTGTCTATCCACAGTCTTTTCAACTGAGATTAAAATGAACTATATCCAAATATTTTTGGTCCTTTGATTAGGATCAAGTGCTAACCATACCTTCTGTCAAGGGAATTAGATCCCAGATAATCGGGTGACGTCTGAGTGATTGTCATAGGTCTTTTTATTCCACTCGCCTTATTTTTACAGGATGCCCTTAAACGTTTCAAAGCAAGAGTTGTAGTTCCCACAAGGATAACTCAACTGAGGATATCCAAATCAGCAGCAGATAAATAATTCAATGAGCCAGTTTCAACAAGAACTAGCAACCTAAAATTGTTTAAGATTGCAGAAACTAAAGGTTTTTTTTTTATTTAAAAACAAAGGAAAATAAGTGAAGTCCATTATTTTACTGAAGATAGTCCTATGTTAATATTTAGATTTTTTAAAAGGGAAGTGTTTTATTAGAAACAAGACCAATTTTGTTTTTCTCATTTTGTAGTAACTAACTTAAAAATAAGTCATCAGTTTATAAATTGTTTACTTAGAACCCCACACAGTAAATTATCCTATGATTTCAAAGCCAAAGATGCTTTGATTTTCATGCTAAAAAATCTCTTTTTATTCAATTATGAACATCTAAACCTTATCATATTGTCCCTTTTTGCCTTAAATCCCAGGAAACTCAGCCAGATTTTGCGCAAAGCACCAAAAGGGATCCCTCATTTGCATAATATTCTAAAAACCATCCAACCCAGACCCTCCATTACTTGGTCCACATTCTCTTCTCTTGGTTTACTAGTTTTAGACACATCTGTGTTTCTCATTGTAGGTAATTTCACATTTTTTTGAAGATATGTGCAGGTTAGAGTACATTTCCAAATAGTGCTCCTTTCTTCATTTGCCTGTTTCCTTCCCACACATTTGCCACAGAGGCTTAGTGGCACAGTGGAAAGCACACAGGCTTGGGACATTTTTGCCTGCTTTGCTGAGGTGATGATTAAGTATGTGACCACTTAAAACTGTACTTCTGCTCCTCTGGGCAATGTGGCATCTTCAGAAATTAGAGGAAACTTTTGCTCTGGGTTTCATGCTGTTTCCCCCTTTAATGCTGACAACATTTGCATTCTGGCTGAAGTCTCATGGATAATTAATGTGACTGTTGGCTCTTATGTCCCACTCACTTCTTAGGTAGAGTACTCTGAAAGGTTTTATTGCAGCCATTCCGAAGCAAGCAAACACCTTCATCACATGCTGGGCCTCTTTCTATGTGTGCCACATTAAAAGTTATCAAAGTGGCCGGCACCGCGGCTCACTAGGCTAATCCTCTGCCTTGCAGCACTGGCACACCGGGTTCTAGTTCCGGTCGGGGCGCCGGATTCTGTCCTGGTTGCCCCTCTTCCAGGCCAGCTCTCTGCTGTGGCCTGGGGAGTGCAGTGGAGGATGGCCCAAGTGCTTGGGCCCTGCACCCCATGGGAGACCAGGAGAAGCACCTGGCTCCTGTCTTTGGATCAGTGTGGTGCGCCTGCCGCAGCGGCCATTGGAGGGTGAACCAACGGCAAAGGAAGACCTTTCTCTCTCTCTCTCTCACTGTCCACTCTGCCCTCAAAAAATAAAAATAAATAAATGAATAAAAAGTTATCAAAGCATCTCTTCTACAGGATTTTCCCATTCTCTCTTACACTATTTTTTTCTCTTACATTA